GTTTTGTAACACACACACAAATCATATTTTCAAATCCATTTTCCAGCCATAATTCTTATTTTATATTGTTACATCTCACCAGGAGGAAATCATCATTTACATCTGAGCACGGGGTGTGTTACAACTAACACAGACTATGGGGTGAACTCTAACATTTCACTTCTCCTGTTTGAAACTAAAAAGTGTTCATATTTTCTGTTTGTGCTGCACAATTAACTTATATGCCATTTAACAGCAGACACTAATAACTCAAGATCTCAAAGATACATGGAGAAAAATATAATAGCAGTACAACTATCCCCGGTCTTCCCGGTCTTACAAATATGTCAAATGTACATGCAACATATTTTTCAAATTGTATAAAAATGGCTTCTATATGATATGAATTTGATGACATATAAATTTATGAGGTCCAAGCTACATTTCCAGGTTTTGATGAATATAGGATACTATATGCTAATATTTTATCTTTAAGTACAGCATTTTATTTATTTATTTTACTTTTTATAAACAGTGTAGATTTTGATTCATTTTTAAAATGCATTTTTATTTAACCGTGAACACACTATATTATAAACTGTTATGTTTAAAGTGCTGATGTTGGTTTTATAAATAAATCTGCTTTGTTTTTGAACTGTATCGGATTAATTAGGTCTACTACGCTACCATGTTTTGATGCTAGTAATTAGGTGCTACTTGGAGAGACAAATTCTTTCTAAGGTGAAAAATTTGAGAACCACTGATGTATACCAGGTACCAACACCCCTTTCATCCTGAAAGGACGTCCATCGATGCACCCGTCCATCTGTTTTTTAAAGAAATTCCTGACCATCCAGTCATTGCTGAGCTGTGTGATTCCCTTTTTCTCCATGTGGTCTATTCCAATCTGTAAAACACAACAGAAAGATATCAAGTCATTAATTAATTTTAATACCATTCTGTGGAAGTTTCATCTACCAATGTCTCCAGTCTGGCAATGTTGTAACAAATAATCTTTATAGCTATAAATAAATACAAGATGACAAACTGTAAACTGAGAATAGATAAATGTGTCACAATAATTAGTAAAACTGTAAATAGAACAAATAATAAAAATCTCCAAATGTTGTAAAGGCCAACAACATAAACTACAAATAAATAATACAACAGTAAAATGGAATATGTGTTAAAGCTAACAGCATACAAAAACATTAAAACAGATCAATTTATCTAATAATATAACAAAGAACAATCTGCAAATGTTAAATTGGATAAGTTAGTAATACACAAATGAAGCAAACAAACAAGCACAACAATTGTATCTATCAGTCTACGAACCAGTCAACATTATAAATGGCATTCTACGTAGATAAATAGGCTACTAAAGATAACATAATACACAAACTAATAAAATATTTATTCAAAATCATAAAACCTCCAATTCCCACCAGAACAATCTACAGTGTAAACGATAAAAGACGTAGAAAAACTAATATAATAAGCTGAAACGATATGAAAGAGAGAAATACTCAAACCTTTACTGTCCTTCAGCAAAAGCACATCGAAACAAGCAACTATAATAACCTAAAATTGTACTTTTAGAAAGATCTTTACTTACAATGTCCGCGATGGCCAGACACTTAATGCAGGTCACTCTAGTTTCTCAACGTCATCGACAGTTTTTCGAACACATTCTTTTTTTTTAGAACGCCACTGACTTTGGTAACCATAGCAATGATAGCTAGCCGCCTCATGGTTGGCGTATGTCAACGCGGCCGCCATCTTAATCCGGTCATTAGTGCAACAGACCCAACTGAACGGAGGAGCTGCTGTTTTCTCGGATATAAAATACAATAACGCTTATATGTATGAATCGATTATAATTGTATGCTTTGACAAAAACCTCAGTTCCCTAGAATTAACATGTATTATCAATAAATGTATCTCCTTTATCAAAAATAGTGGAGTCATAATTTTTATTTTATTTTTTTATAACAGGTATAACAAAAACAGGTATGAAGTATTCAGAATCACACAGTATTATAAAAGTACAAATTCTATACAGTAATGTAAAATAAAGTAACATTGTATTTGAAAATATTAATTAACAATAGCAAATAGAATATAAAAGATCTGTGTGCTATGTGTAATCAACTAATTCGAGTATGAATACACAATACTCTACATAAGCACACATGATACACTCTATACATATACACACGATAGACTATACAAATGCACACATAATACATTCTATATATACCCTATGTACTCATGATATACTCTATGCATATGCACACATGATACATTCCATACACGTGTATGATTTAACACTTTAATTTTACAATATATAGCATATTTTCATTTTTTTTCATCCAAGAACACAATAAATCTTAAACAAATCTTTTTTCCCCATTTTACATTTAAATTATGTATCAGAATATACAGAGCACTGCACCTTTAAAAGTGTAGAATTCATCCTTTTCACACGGAGTCTCGATGCTGAGCATGGCGAGTTCGGAAAGCCTGTCCTGGCTCATTGTTGATGTCAGGCAAGTTTTTATTAATTTTAGCTTGGAAATCGCTTTTTGGAGGGTCAGTATGCAAAGTGGGGATGTCCATGCTGATACTGCTACCATCCTTGTTTATGTTCTGCTGATTTTGGAAAAATATGGACGAAATCTTTGGCAGGTTTGCATTAAATTGTTGGTTTATTTGTTTTTGGGCTCCGCTGAGATGTTTACTTTTACTCATTTTGTGAAGAATTATCTGTAGGGCAGCTAAGGTTAACTAACGTTACTATTTACTTCAAATAAATCATCAATTGTGACTGGATGAAAAAACAATAGCAAAGGATATTGGGTAACCAATAATTAGCACCAAAATAAAAGTCCTATTTATTATTGTGTCCCCGGAGCCTTATGCATATATTCTAAGTTTATATAAAAAATCTAATGAATTAAACAATTAAAATATACTTGTAAGCAATTCTTAAACTCAAAAAAAGTACATGTTAAAATGTATATCAATTAATCAAAACATTATTGGATCATAAGGGTTAAATAATAATAGGGGGCACAATGTAATGCGGGATTAAATTTTTACATGAAATTTTTAGGTATCTGCTCAGGGTTAACCTTGGCATGCTTCTGAGGTTTTCACCACAGTGAAATTGTATAATAATGGATAATAGTCCAAATAAATCCAAATGTGTTTATCCAATAAATAAATAAACTTACTGTGTTATGTAGAATAAAAAATAAATTGAGCTAGGTACTGAGGAAATATAGCTACTATTTAAAGTAAACGAAATTTGCATTAATTGTGTTTATTCTGCCCTTTTAAGCATGTGTAACAATTTCGTTTTTTATTTGACCAAAACCAAAAAGTGTTACTTGATAATGATAATAATAATATAAATATTATAAATAATAATGATAATAATAATTCATAGTAAATTCAGTAGCTAATTCATAGTTAAAAAGTGTATATATATATATATATATATATATATATATATATATATATATATATATATATATATATATATATATTTAAGCACACACTTGTATAAAGCTAATAGAAAGATAGACAGATATAATCCATACACATCACATTTTCGTATAGGCCTACAAAAATTCCAGTCTTCTACAAATTAGACAAAAATCTGTCTGTGACAGGATAATAAACGTGAAATGTTAGCGGGGTCTGATAATATTTATTTATGCCATTCGTTATTAACAGATTCTCCTACCACTGCTATGCTGATGATACCCAGCTATACCTCTCTTTTCATCCTGATGATCCCTCGGTTCCAGCTCGCATCTCAGCCTGCCTGTTGGAAATTTCACACTGGATGAAAGATCATCATCTTCAGCTTAACCTCGCAAAAACAGAAATGCTTGTAGTTGCTGCCAACCCGACTCTACACCATAACTTTTCAATCCAGATGGATGGGGCAATCATTACTGCATGTAAAATGGTGAAAAGCCTTGGAGTAACAATTGATGACCAACTAAACTTCTCTGACCACATTTCTAGAACTGCTCGATCGTTTAGATTCGCACTCTTTAACATCAGAAAGATCCGACCCTTCTTATCTGAACATGCAGCTCAACTCCTTGTTCAAGCTCTTGTTCTCTCCAAACTGGATTACTGCCACTCTCTACTAGCTGGGCTTCCAGCTAACTCTATCAAGCCTCTTCAGCTGCTCCAGAACGCAGCAGCACGAGTGGTCTTTAATGAACCTAAAAGAGCACATGTCACTCCGCTGCTAGTCCGTTTGCACTAGCTGCCAGTTGCTGCTCGCTTCAAATTCAAAGCTCTGATGTTTGCCTACAAAGCGACTTCTGGCTTTGCTCCTTCTTATCTGCTCTCACTTCTGCAGATTTATGTGCCCTCCAGAAACTTGCGTTCTGCGAATGAACGTCGCCTCGTGGTTCCATCCCAAAGAGGGAAGAAATCACTTTCGCGAACGCTCACGCTCAATCTACCCAGTTGGTGGAATAAACTCCCTAACTGCATCAGAACGGCAGAGTCACTCGCTGTTTTCAAGAAACGACTAAAAACTCAACAATTTTGTCTCCACTTCACTTCCTTATCTGCAATTGCCTCTCTGGATATACCACTAACTGTACCCAAAAAAAAAAAAAAATTACCAATGCTTTCCTTCTTAGACTTTACAGACCTGAAACTTGCCTATAGCACTTATTCATTGTTGCTCTTATAGTTGTGTAAATTGCTTCCTTGTCCTCATTTGTAAGTCGCTTTGGATAAAAGCGTCTGCTAAATGACTAAATGTAAATGTAAACAGCCTAGCTAAATGTCTTCTTGAAACGATGTGACTAACTGAGACTACAGACGTAATGAAGGATTCATAATTTTAAAATGTAATTTTTATTTAAACATAAGAATAATAATTAGAACTGGGAATAACTGCGAAATTGCTATTACATTGAATGTAACACATTGTCAATGTGAGTGTGTGTTAGTGTGTGTGAGCGAGAAAGAGAGAGAGAGACTTTTTTGACTTTTAAGGTCTCTTTATTACAAAAACAATTAGCTAAAGCAATTAGCTAATTAAAATTTACATTACTTATTAAAAAACAAAGCATGTGTTTCTTTTTAAACTACTGATACTTACAAGTAAATATTTAGAACATTTCAGAGTCAGCATGACAAATACACTGATTTACACCACATTTGTGATTAAACATTGCCAGATCATTTACCATTTTATAAAAACCATACTCTGCAATAATGCGAGATTTTACTAATCATTTTGATATTAAAAAAGCATCAGTTGAACCCTTATCATTTATTTTATGTTTCCTTGACAGCCAAAGTGCCATCTTTGCTTTCCCCAATAAGAACTTTTGTGAGGGAGATAGTGTGGCCTTGTTCACCTTCGCGAACACCCTTGGAGCTATGGAGAGACCGAACGGAAGCAATTTGAACTGATGGGTCTTCCCTTCGAAATGGAATCTTAGAAAGCGATGATGATGACGCGCGATTGGAATGTGCAAATATGGGTCTTTTAAGTCCATCTTTGCCATCCAATCTTGAGGCTTGATTGTACACAGGACATCGGTTAACCGGCCTAGATAGCAGGTAGTAATTGGCCCGAGCTCGGCTCCGACTCGGCGCCTCCGACTCGGCATCGGCAAGTACTATCCGGGCCGAGTCTGGCCCGCAGCTCGCTCCCGCACATGCATTTGGGATGCGGCTGTTAAGCACTGGCCCAATTCCGGTCAACCACATCTGGCCCGAGTCTGTCTGTAGAGTCCGGGCCGCTTCTGGCAAGGACTCAGCATGGACTCGGCATGGACTCGGCTTGTTTAACTAATGACAACCGTAAAAACTCCTGATCCAAACTCCAATCCAGGTGGTGGCGGTAATGCTCCAAAAAGCAGGTTGCCAACCGCCACGAAGATTACAAGAAGAAAAAGAAGTTTGTTCTTAACATTGGATTCCTGTCAGAAAGGTAAGGTGTTTACTGTTTGTATCATGTATACTATGCAAATTTATTGCTTAAAACATTTTTCACAGTGTTAGGTTGTAACAGTGTGTAGTATATTAAAACGATTTCATACGAAATGCAACTTGTTGTAAAGAAACACGACTGAAGCTAATTGCTATACAAACGGGAGAAAGTGCCTGTTCCTTTGTTAGGTTGAAACAGTGTTTAGTAACTGAAAACTATTTAAATTATTTTAAAGAAACATGACTAAAAACGAATTGGTGTGTATGCTAGTTTCTGTAGAAGAATCTGTTAACATTAAAATGTGCTTTTAACTTCTGAGTTAACTAAACATTATAAAGTACCGTGAGTGTTGAAAAAAATAAATTTACAGGCGTGTACTTATCCAAAAGTATTATGTGATTGTATAAATAAAACTGAATCGTTTTGGATTCATACAATATTATTGTTTAACTTGTTTATGCAGTGCATCACGAAAAGTGATCGAAACTCGACACTGTTTACATAGAAGTAAAGTTGGTTTTATATTCGGATTTTCAGACATTCCCCTTAATAATATAATTTCAGAAAAGTATTCATTGCACATTTTAAATAGGGAAATCATATAAGCAGCCAATGACTATCAAAGTACAGCATTGTTCACAGTCAAATAAACAGTGTTAATGTTGTTTTCAAGTCACACTTGCATGCTAATTTCGATCGAATATTCAAAGTAACATAGTAAACAATATATAGACTGCTAAATGAACGAATGTGTGAATATAAAACCAACTTTACCTCTATACTGTTTACTATTCTCTATATTATCTAAGAGAAATATATTAGTATGTGCTTTAATTAATGTGTGTTAGCCTATGTGAATCAGTTATATCTTATGTTCAAACTGTAATTTGCCTATGTAAAACTGAAAGCAGATTTTTGATGGGGTTTTTTTTTGGTTATTGAAACTTATAAATTCTGATTTGAATGAATAGGTAACAATATTTTTTCGGTTAAGTCTTATTATTCTTGTTTAACAAAGGTTCGTGAGGTCGTTTTGCAGCACATCACAGAGACAAAAAAATGCCAATGGCACACTCTTATGAACATGTGAATAGGCATGTTATAGTTGAGTGCTTAAAGTCTGTTAAAAACTGTAAACTGCTGATACATTCTCAACATACTTGAGCTTTTCAGACTTTACTAATTGCTTCACAAACGGCAGAAATGGTTTATTGTTATTAGCTATCATCATCATCAAACATTTTTCACAATGGTAGGTTAACAGTGTTTAGTAACTTACAACTATCTGATCCAAAACGTTTCTTATTTTAAAGAAATATGACTGATTGACTTAATCTGCTTTCCTATTGGTTTCATAAACTGGTTTGTGCATTGTGTCACAAAGTGATTAGAACATTTACTGTTATTGGCTTTCATCTGACTCAAAGTAAATCAAAAGCTTCTGTATTCATCCAGTAATGTCTAGGTTTTAAATAGAATTTTGGGCTTATGCTAATTGGGTATAATATATTTCAAGCTTTTTCTGAATAGTCATTATTAATGTTTATATTGATTCTAGTGAAGATAAACATTTGTATAAAATGTTGTATGTTTGTTTCTTTGACAGTCCACAACAAGATCCTTGAGCAAGATCAAACACGCTTGGCACAGAAGAGGTCAGTTTATGCAAGTCATAGCTGAAATCATGCATGTGCTTAGCCATCTTACAAATCTGTGTCTAAGATTCATAAGGCTGTCACTCTGCATGAATCTCTGAATAAATCTTGTGCAACCTTCAGGGTCCTGATTATTTACAGCATAGGTATTATAGCCATTAATTAACTTTGATAGTATTTCAGAATTTTAACTTTTCTTAGGGGGAGATTAACAACAATGTGATGTTTTATTACAGAAACATCCAAAAGCAACTGTGATGTCTCACTGGCATACAGATGACGACGATGATTGCCCGTCATACAGCTAAAGAAACAAACAGGTTTGTTTGCAATTATTTTAAACACATACTGTCAACATTATTTCATAGATCTATTACAACCTGCGGGTTTGGCCCTGGCACTATACTAAAATGATGTTTTGTTTTGTAAATGTATCTGATCATGGTACATAAGGCACAACTATAGTGACAGTGATGAAGAAAAATTATTTAAAACAAGGAGGCTCGAGAAAAAAAACAAAAGCAGATATGAAGATTTCAGGAATCGATGCAGCACCACAAGTATCATCACCACTAGAATTCTTTAGACCACCATCAAGATGCACGGATGCTGAACATTCCAGTATGGCCATGAACATTTACAGTCCTTGTTCCATACAGTTGGAGATCAAACTGAACTTGTTGCAACTCGTCAAGTCTTTGTAAGAATCACTAAATTTGTAAAAGTTTAATGCAGCTAGAAAGTAAAGATCAACTAGAGAATATCAGCCGTATCTAACCCACTGTTGTATTTACACAAGTTGTATGAGAATAAGCTACAGGTTGATTAATACTGATTCCTTATTTTTCTTTTTTAGCACGACTGACTGAAGTTTTAAAATTATGTGACGTCATAAAGCAGCAGCTGGGCCTGATTCTCACAGCAAAACCAAAACAGATGTGATGAAATTCCAGATGTAAACACATTTGACCTTCCTTTGTCCAATTTGATATCGAAAAGCTTGAAAATCAACTAAAGGAGCAGCCCGAACAAATGAAGAAACTGGTAAGTTCAAGCTCTTGCTTATTTCAAAGTGTTTTAAGTTTATTTATTTATTTATTTGTTTATTTATTTATTTATTTTTTGCTTCGTAGGTAGCCTACTTTGGAATCATTGGTGTTTTTCATTAAGGAAGCAGTTTGGTGTATCCTGGGAAAACTTTTGGCTAACTCCTTGTCTAAACAAATGAACTGGAGCGGGGCAAACCAAAATGTGGCCTTTCGTGCACTCCCCCTTAGGACTGTCTAGTCAGTAAGTTGGTTTTAAATATACATTTCAATTCAATTAGGGGCTGTTCCATCTCTGTATTTCTTTGAATCATTAACCAGAGGAACAAAAAAAATCTATATATAGTCCCATTTAGGTTGTACTTATGTGAGCAAGCATGTTTCTTTTTTCTTTTTTTTTTGTACTTGTTCACTACTAATTATCTGTTTATCTTTTAATCACAGATGCAGTGAGGACAAATGTCTATACCACACCACTGATAAAGAAGTGGAAATGCATTGCAAGGTGGCTACAACTTCCTTCCCTGTCAGGAGCAAGGAAGAAGAGAGCTCTATACACACACACACACACACACATTATTTATATATATATATATATATATATATATATATATATATATATATAATTCTCACTCATGTCTTGTTGTTTGTGCAATTTCTTCTGGTCAAGTTTATTTAAAAAATTAAGTTGAGGTCTTTATACTTCTGCAATTTTACATTTATATATTTCTTTATTATTATTATTTTAATGTTTTATTTAAAAAATGTTTCAAGATGTTTCTTCAGAATTCAACAGTTCTTTTTACAATTTTGACTTGAATATTTTATGTATTATCAGGTATTTGTAAGATGTTTCTTGCTATGTCTTAAATTGGTTTCTATATTCATGATTCTATAAAATGTAGCTGTTTTAAGATATGTCTTGTACAATTTTTTTAATTCAAGTCTATTGGGAAAATAGTGTTGTTTTAAACACTTGTGTATGTGTTCACTGTGCAGTTTTAGTTTTCTTTGAATCTTTCTGTGTGTCTTAATTGTGTAGTTTTATTGTTTTTATATTGATGTTTTTGTGCACTACAAAATAATTTATTCAATTTTAGTATTATTTGTTTCTTGCAATCAATAAACGTTTATCATTTATTTATTTTGTCCTTTGATTATTTTTGTCATAGGATATATATGCTGTTTGAATTTTATTCAAAGGTTAAATGCAGTGCCTACACTTTGTGTTTACATTATAGCCTGCGTTTGCTGCTACAACTCAAAGGGTTGTAATATAAAGGTATATAAAAAAGGTATATAAATACTGAGTCGCGCCAGCTCAGGGCCGCAGCGGACATTACTCTCGGGCCGATTCCGGCGCGGATGCGGCAGTGTCGGTTCGCTTACGGCCGCCGCATCTGGCCCGATTGATTCGGGCCAGAATCGGGCAGTGAGTCCACAGGCATACCGGCAGGCGGGAATCTAGCCGGATCTGGCCCGAGTGTATTTTGCTATCTGGGGGAGCATAAGAAACGGTAGAAATTAAAAAAAAATATTTTGTTCATATTCCTAAAGTCTAGGGTAGGGTGAAAGCCCCCTTCTTTTTAGGGAGTTAGGAAGTAGATGGAAAAAAAAACCTGTGTTGCAGCCGGTGGTTTTATTTCCTCTATTGCGTTTTTTGCGAGTAACATTTGAATTTCCCTGACTAGGATGTTGTGTTTGTTGTGAAAGACGGACAAACTTCTGTGTTTAAGACGGGCCGGCAGCGAAACTCCAGATTGTAACCATGGGAAATTGTGTTTAAAACCCACTGATTTCTTGTTATCGAATGCCAATATTGAATCTGCCACACCATAAATTTGTTTGCTGCCGGCCCTGACGAGTCAGCGCTGTCTGCAAGTCGTTTTTGTGTCTTTGGGGAGGCGAGTATCAGAAGCCACTGTATTTCTAAGGCAGTATGGTCTGTTTGCTGGCATATAAGGTTGAGATTGTTGGACCCTATAGAACCTATTCTGCGGTAGTGGTGGTGGTTCACGTACGATTCGTTGGTGGTGTGAGGGAAATGCACCCCAGCGGAAAGAATAGGGCTAATAGCCAGGTGCCTTAAACTCAGCCAGCTGCTGACACCGTGCTTCTAAAGCTAAGTATGTACATTCCAGAGCCTCCTGTGCAGCTGGATCAAATATTTGGCCTGGAACCAGAGGTAGCTGGCTAGGTGGTTCTGCAAGATTCTGACAAGGGCAACTGAGCAACCCAAATCTGGCCCCGGGCTTGGACCAGCAGTCTCATGGCTTTACCGCAGTGACCTGCTATTGAACCTACCGATCTCAGGGCTACATTAACCATGTCTATGAGAGAATCGTCTGATGAGCTGACTGAAGCCTTGATTGCCAATAACAGGTGTACCAGCGTGTTGGCAGTCTTTCCCAAGCACCCAGTGGAGTTATATATTTTCCCTATCAAATTATCTGTGCATCTGCATTCCATATTTGGACACCTCGGATCTTGTCTTAGCGCTTGTGTGGCTGTACGATTAAAGACGCTACTGCTGGCCATTGTTTTTTTTTTTTGGCCAGGGATTGTTCCTCTAAAAACAGCGAGTCTGTAGCTGTGACAGAAACGCAGTCAAGGTCATCCAGAAATGGATCCAGTGAAAGATGCGACAGGCTGCAAGAGAGACTGAACTGTCGTTTCTTCACTACCTGCTTTGGAAATCCCAAAAGCTGGCTGAGGTTGAAGTTTTGCCAGAAATTTCTGAACTTCACCTATGCCTTCAGCTATCTCATCCACTCTATGAGCTAATTCTTTTTTTCCTTTTCTTTTGGCCAGAGAGTGGAAACCGGCCGTGATGACTTCCGTTTTCTTCTTTTCTCTTTAATATTAGCCCATGCTAGATGAGCGTCGTACTGCTAGGGGTAAAACGCTGCAATTAATACCCGGATCTTCTATCTAGAGCTTCCCTGAGATGCTCGATTCCCTGGGAGCTCAGACATTGATCGTGCCCGTCACCTAGATCCATCTGGCCAAGGCAAGAGAAGCATAGTGCCGACATCCTGGAATCAGGTAGGTAATGGAAACCTCATCCTTTTTCTTTTTCTTTTTTGTTACTTACCGATTTTTTTTTCTTTAAAGCATACAGCTGGTGGCACTGACATCTAGACAAGAAGACGAAAGAGGAAGTAATGAAGTAGAATGAGGTATTTAAAGACGGACATGTCATGAAGGTCACGGGGGTGACAACTTTGTTATTAGGTTCTCGACAAGGGGAAGGACAGAAAGGAATCCACTCTGTAATGCCCTCTGGCAGTCTGCAGCCAATGAACTTCCTTTAAAACCCGAACATTATCATTAGTTCTGATTAAAACTGATATCATCTGTATGTAGAAAGTTTAACAGTAGATTTAAAATCTAATGTTTAAATCTGTAGTCCTGTCAGTTTTTTCTCTCAGTTTACAGAGCAACGGCTCAATGGCCAGGCTGTAGAGATGGCCAGAGAGAGGACACCCCTGTCTTATTTCCCTTTGCACCTTTACCGGAACACTTAAAGGGAACATAGTTTACCCTTTTTTATGATTTAATATTAATATTACGGTTGTTCTGAGTGTGCTAGTTTAGGTTCAGTTCAACACACAGTTGTTTTTATTATAATGTGTTAAAAAGTGTCATGTTGGGGTCGTTTACACAGTTTGCTGTTTTAAGGGGCGTGTTTCTTCACAGTTTCGGCTTCCTGCCCAACGTAACAAGGGGGCGGAGCCAAGATCTCCCACGCTCTGTGTTTGCAACAGACAGGCTGAAAGACAGAGGGAGAGCTAAGCTAAGCTAAGCTGAGCTAGGATGAGCATTCAGCCGTACATGTATGAGTCCAAGCAGAGAGTACAAAATCATTTGTGTCTTTGAAACATGAAGTGTCCCGAATTGTTGCGGCAAGCATTACAGAACTCCAAACACAAGCCTCCACCAGGGCAAACACAATGGCGCCGAGCCGCTGACCCGGAGCTCCGCCGCGTGCACGACAGAAACCCACGCCCAGAACTCCGCAATGCACGGCGCCGCGCCACGCAAAAGGTACAAGCAATAAATCTAATTAGAGCGATAATGTAGAGAATATTGATCTTGTGTTGAGCCTTGAATGAGCTTTTCATAAAAAAAATAGAGCAAGGGTGTTCCTTTAATGATATCGCTTTGACTCACACGCTGAAAATGGCGGACGTGCAACAAGTAACTGAGGATATGATTGTTACGCGAGGCTGTCAATCAATATTGGTGGGCGGGGGAACTGCACTCCTACGTAAAGTTGCGGTCGGTCTGAAAACCACTCCAATTGGTCCACCTTTTTTTGTTGTTAAATTGAAAAAAAAAGACTGTGTGTGTTTATATAGCCCCAATATGACGGTCTATACACTATACTTGCACACATGTCTGTCCAAGCTTGAAAAGTAGATTTTTCACCATAGGTGCCCTTTAAACCACCAGCAACTTTAATCATGCATGGTGCTCCTGTATGCAACAGTTGTATCTTTGAAATAAAACTATCACCAAATCCAAAATCACTTAAGGTGTCAAAAAGAAAAGTAATGCAGATTGTCTTTTACGATAAGATACGATAAGACTGATCTTTATGTTGAATTGTATTTAGTGCAAGATTTAATCTATTTGACAAGCATTTTGAAAAGATTTTGTAATCAGAACTTAAAATTGCAACAGGTCTCCAATTTTTTAAGAGAGTTATGTCACCTTTTTTTGGGAGCAATGTTAAAACTGCTCTCTGACAACTCAAAGGTAGAACACCTTTGCAAACACATTCTTGAAGTACTTCAAAAAAAAAAAAAAAAAAAGTACAGCCACTCCAGCACTTAGTTCCATGACTAAGGTTTTGCTCCCCTTTCCACCATAATCCCCAATCAACCTCATTATCCATACAACAATGAGTTTCTTGTAGCATCACCAGACTCAACTCCTTCCACTTTATTATTTCTGAAAGGTGACCCCGTTTTCCCCTATCTCTTATTCCATTCATATTAACTGATCCCACTCTCAAGACTTCCATGCAGAAGGGAAAAAAGAGAGGAAAAAAACACCTTCATTTAGTATTCAGTTTTCCCCCTCACTTTACCTGGCTTCTTTCCACTTCTTAGATTAGTGATATGTTTTCTTAATCAAAACCGTTTTTGTTGTGACAGCTCTTCCAGGCTGCTCACTTTTCTGGCCCGCACAACAGAATAAATAAACTTTTCAGTATCAGGCTAATAATCACTCATTTCAACACCCACTTTTCCTTTAGTTTTGTCTAAGAAGGAATTAATTTGTTCTACAGTACACAAGCCATTATCTTTTTCCGCTGCAGCATCTGACCACTGGTCCTCATCTCTTATACTATCATCCATACACTGTGACAAACCATCCAACTCATCAATCATACTATCTCCATACTATAGATTTTACATTCTTCTGCCATACAATTAGTTGTCTCATTATTCTCAACAGCCTCACTAACATTAACAGACTCTGAAGGGTTGCTCCAACCAGGTTGTTCCACGCTGGAAACTATAACTGAAGCTTCACTCACCTCTTGCTGTTTTTCCTCCCTTTGCTCACCACCTCTCTGTGTCTGTTTATATCATATTTGTATATCCGTGTCATTTGTCCTGATATTTGTATCAGTTGTTTGTTTTCAATCCTTATTTGGGCAAGCGAAACGTTTGTGCCCAAAATTTCTGCAATCAAAGCACTTTGTAACCCTCCCAAAAAGGGCATAAAGTATTCACACACAACACAAGTTTTACTGGACAAAAGACAGTATTTATTTTGGGCCACAATAATCAAGTAAAATTCAAACACTCAATTCATTTAAATACTAGTTTCACTTTCATTTTATACAATAATCTCAAATGTCAAAATTCCACACAAGGGGAGCAGCAGGTAGAGAATAAAAAGTACACAGAGTTCATGATATAGATGGTATAGATCGTACCAATGGTATAGATTGTTAGCAGACTGCATAAAAATTATTGGGTAAGGGAATTAAAATGACCGCCACAAGGCATTTAACAAGGGGTATCAACCGTAATTGTGCAACACATCATCATTTCACATCAACCCAGAGTTGTAATACACCACACAGTAAATCTCATAAATATAAATGTATAAATAACACCCATAAATAGACTCCACACAGCAATCAAACATAAGCTACCATCAATACCACTCCAGCTAAATATCAAGCCGTCGTCATTTAACATTTCCTTTACGGAGCGTGATGCTAGCCTGCGCTCATCCCCGTCACACACGCACACAAGCACGCGCACACACACACCCACACACACAGACAGACAGAGCACAAGCACCGGGAGCAGTCAAACTCGCTCAAACTCCCGGCGAACAAAATGCAATGCATACACAATGACCCCGCAACAGTATAACACTGTGCTGCTGGCCCGCTTACTCGCTACCGGACATGGGATACAGTGATTGGAAAGTCAACAGCGGCCGCCGAAACTTTAGTCCGGGGAAACCCCAGAGCTACCAATTATCCCTCCCAGTCATTCGCTCGCGCACAACATCATGCCCACGTCCTGGCACAATAGCCTTGGCCAGCGGCTCAGCAGCACCTGCAGTCAAAACCAAGAAAAAACCCCATGACCAAGAAACTACATCCCTTTTGAAGACTTGGACTCAATACAAATTGAACTCAGCTGTTCATCTCCTGGAAACGTCATAGACGCAAATGACGCCAGTACGCACCATCCTGATTTGGGAAGCACCGCTTACAACCACCCCCTAAGATTCCGGGTCACACTTTACAATAAGGTTCATTAGTTAATGTTAATTAATGCATTTACTAAGATGAACAAACAATGAACAATACATTTACTAGGGGTGTAACGATACACCAAAGGCACGGTTCGGTTCGGTTCACGGTTTTGGAGCCACGGTTCGGTTTTCGGTTTCTGTTTGCTGTGGGGTTAGGGTTGATGCCATCTTAACAGCAATGTTAAGGATCAATAGATTCACTTAATAACAAGAACAACTTTTTCTTTATTAACTTTGCCATTGCATTTTGGTACAGTCAGGATACCAGAGTAAAGAACAAAAAATAAATAAATATCTCCAATAAATACTAGTCAGAAAAAACAAATCACTTTAGTGCAGCCATCATAACCAAGTAAACTAAAATTAAATAAATAACTGCAGTGTAGACTAGTGAAACATAAACTCTAATTAAGTTTATTAACACCATAATATCCACATTCTCAGGTGAGAGGCTTGATCTCTGTGCTGTAACAATGTCCCCCGCTGTAGAGAACACCCTCTCACTCTGGACAGATGTTGCTGGGACTCCAAGGTAGCATTTAGCCAACTTGGCTACATGAGGAAACTGGCTCTCGTTGTCCTTCCACCATGCAAGTGGATTTAACTCCACTGGAAGATTTGGCACTTGCCTATAACACGCAACCTCTTCTTTCACCATTTGAGATAGAGACTTGGCTGTAGGAGTGCTTGGCTCCACTGGAAATAACTTTTTAAACAGTTCAGAGATTGGTGCCTTTTTGGCTGGAGGATCACAACTGATGGATGCCATATCTAACTGTTCCTCTGAGACCTGGGCCTAGCAAGGAAAAAGACACAAATTATTGTCAAGGTTATACACCTAATTGCAGTTTATGTCAAACAAATAGAACTATGACAAACAGACATAGTGATGCTCATTTTTGATTCTCTATGTTTTTATTAAGATAGATAGGTTTCCGTTTAAATTAATGAAAAAATATAATGTTTGTAAAGTAGTAAAGTGGTTTTTACATGACATATTCATTATTCACCAGTAAAATACATTGCAGTTTTGTCTGAAATTAATGTTACGGTTGTAGCCGTATATACACTGTAGGTTGTATTTTTGCCTTCCGTTCTCCTCTCTTTCTCTCTCTCTATGCCTGTCTTCACGACAGCTGATTGGTCAGGAGACCGGTCTGTTATCATTGGGCGAAGTGGCGCGGGGTTATAAAAAGCATGGCAGGAAGAGCGGGAGAGAGCGCGCTTTTTCCTTTGATCTCGTTTTTCGTGTATTTTGCCGACATGATTATGGTTTTTGTTGTTTTTGCTTAACTTTCGTTTGGGTAAAATTATTTTGCATTACTTTTGCCCACTTTAAGAATTTTTTGTGATTTTTGTACATTTTTATAATCAATTATTGTTAGTTACTTTTTGGCTGCGCTCTTTTCCGTCATATTGAGCTATATATAGCCTTCTCAAGTTCACTTTTTTCTCAGAGTAAGGTGGATAGGGAAGATGTCGTATGACTTCCATTTTGCAAACACGTAAAAAATGTATTGTTAAAGACATCATGTAAGATGTGAAGGTCATCTTTGTTTTTTATTTTATTTAACCGTTCAGTATAGGGAAGAATGCCGTGCATGGCACTGAAGATTTTTCATTTATCAATTTCTAGCGAGGTAAGAGGTTATTCATGAGTTAGAATTGTTTTGTTATATATATATTATTATTTATTTATTTTGGCTTCACTATCATCCCCTTATACTCGAGTTGAACTAATTTTTGTTTGATACTTTGTTTGACTTTGCTATTATATTCTATTATTGTAAATATTTATAATTTATTGTATATATCTGGGCATTATTCTGGTTTCACTTTTGTACAATAAATCACTTTTGTTGGAAATTCTGTTTTTAGTGTCTTTTGCTTACACCCTCACATTGTGAAATTACCACACTTTTTAAATGATATTCCTAAATGATATGAGTAACATTAAAGAGGTTGTAAAATTAAATAGTACAAGTAAAATTAAATAATAAAAAATTAAGTTTATTTAAATAATAATTAAAATATTATTAAAATAATAATGATGATAATAATAATAATACCTGCTTGGAAAGGTACTCCAGAATCTTCTCCATCGGACGGTTAAAGATGTTGATGCGCATAGTCTCATCCAGAAAGGGCAGAGATTTGAAGCATGGATCTAGTGCAGTGCTCATATGAAGAAACTGCACAAGTGTTAAGTCAGATTCTGGGTATCTGTTGATGAAGTCGGACACAATGCCTTGTTTGACATCTTTAACAACTGTTGTATCTGTGTCACTCACTTTCAAAGACTCCAGGATGGTGTGTTTCAGTGGCATTATCATTGAAACGGTTGGCAGTTGTTCTGTGCTCAACAGAGTTGTAACCATTTTTAAGGGTTTAAGAACCTGAATGATGTCTTCAGCTAATTTTACATCTTCATCAGACAGCGTTACAGTGTCCTTAATATTTCTCTTAATGGTCTTGTCTGTAAGTGCAGAGAAAACAGCAGCCTGCTGTTCAAGGTAACGCTCAAGCATCTCATAGCTGGAGTTCCACCTGGTTGAAACATCCTGAATCAGTTTGTGTGGAGGCAGTTGGAGCATCTCTTGTTTGTCCTTCAGAAGTGCTGAAGCAGTAGTGCTACGATGGAAAAAAGTGACTACCTTTCGTACACTGCCTAAAAGCCACGACATTTGGTTAACAGCCATTCCCTTCTGTGAAGCCAGATTAACTGTATGCGCGAAACAGCGAATATTTGGTGAAAATCCGGCTACTTCAACTGCATTAACAATATTTTTAGCGTTATCTGTTGTCACAGGAATAGTGGCATTTTCTCTGTCGATTTTCCACTCTGCTACAGCTGCCTGTAGTATTTCCGACAGATGATCACTTGTGTGGCTTTCATAGACCGCGCGAGTCTGCAGAACGGGATTTTTAATGACCCAGTTGTCTGTAATGTAGTGTGCTGTGATCGTCATGAAAGACTGCGTTGCACGGGAGGTCCATCCGTCGGTAGTTAAAGCAATGAATTTTGCGTTGCTCATGTCCTCCACAAGTTTGGCTCTTACTTCATTGTAAATTTGAGGCAGCACATTCTGACTGAAATGCGGTCGGCTTGGTAATTGGTATCTGGGCTCCAATACACTTAGCAAATGTGTGAATCCGTCGTTCTCAACAACGGAAAACGGCCGCATATCCAACGCCATGAAAACACCTATTGCTTTCGTGATTGTTTGAGCACGGTCTGCATTAGGTGAAGTTTTTAAACTAATTTCGAGAGGAGCACATGATATAATTGACAGCAGCTGGCCACCTATCTACACTCATTAGTTAGCCAATCAGATCTATCCTAACCCACTATAAGTAGCCTAGCTAGACATTACTCCCTTATCTTCGTTTTCCGAAGTAACAAACGACAGGTCCGCTCTAGCTCCTCCAAAGTTACTCACGGACAAAACGGACACTCCACATCTCCTACTATTCTTCAACTACAATACCACACCACCTTTACTACCATCGTCAGCAACTACAAAAAATGACAACAACAACAGCGACGGCGGCGGAGATCACAACAGCATCAGCGCAGCTACATACAAGAAAGAAAGCTCCGCGCTCCATGAAACACCAGCCCCGTCTTAACAACAACCAGCCCAGCATGAAAGTCAGCTCGAGACCAAGGCTCCAACAAGAGGCCGTAGGCCTATCCACTCCAGCCAGATCACAATGCAATCCCCAGTTCCGCTACGTACCTTCTCCAGCATCATCATGCGTCTCTCATATCCAACAACGACTGTCACTGAACTCCTCCAAACTCCTAGACACCGGTACCACAATTCAAAGCCGCTGCATTAAACCCAAAAAACTTCCGAATCCACGACTTCACCGCCACCCCCAGGACATAACACGCTCCTGCCACACCCCCAATTCTAAACAGACATTAAACCCGCAATCTCTCCGCCTCCCCGGAGAATCAAGGAAAGGATTAAAAAGCAATATTGGATTTGGACATATGGCAGCAATCATAATTCTAAACACGGATAAAACCAATCTCCCGGACAATAAAGCAACTCTTGGGAATCCCACCTCACCTCTTCCAGCCTGCAGCTCCCGATTCCAGTGCACACTCCAGTCCTCCTCTTTCAGCGATCCTTACCACCTACGGGCTACGCACCCCGCCCCTCTACCTTGCGTATCATTGCTTTTTCCCCTCTAATTTATACAAGCTCGCAGCTACTGCGGCGATGCATACACCGTCAGCCAAGTGCTAAGCCTAGTGAAAACAGAAATTACTTGTCGACTTTTGTCAATACGTTTATGCTTTTACTGAATTACGTTTGTAACTGACCTAATTTTCTGAATTTCTCATTCCAGGTTTCGTCTACTGAAGCACAGCCGATCTCGGCGCTCCCTTCCCACAACCTCACTCCGTCCACCGTCCACCAACGTTAAACCAGAAATCACAGAGCAATTCCCTGTTAAGCACATCCATACCAGCCCTACTGAAATGGGCATTAGAACGTTTCCAAAAACGTCTAATAACGGCTCTTTCATCTCCTCATAATTCTGCCCTTTTTCAGCTTTAACAGCATGATTCTGCCTGATGAATATGCTTAAATTATCACGTTACAAACCAAGCAATCTCTCTAGACGGCCGCAGCGCTCGGTCGCAATCAACATTTCACCTGCCACCCGATTTCTGGCAATCGGAGGTCACAATTATATTTCGTAGTCCGTTTAACATTCGGATGCAGAAGTAGCCCACACATTTATGCTTAAAAACGATCGGCTGGATTTCGCCAATAACTACGGCGTTTGCACCTAATTCACCTACAAGTTCCCCGTTTCTCTCTCCCTAATATCCCCCAGCTAAACTAGTGACCGGTTTTCTAATATTTGCATTCTCATTGCGGAAGAACCTCCGGCTTAAGCACTCTATAGAATTCTTAAGCATCAATTTGGAGTGATAGAATTTCAAGCATTAAAAAGCTACTTGAATAAATCGACAAATCAGTCCCCTTTATATTCTGGAAGAAATATCACGCTAAGCATAAACTGCTCTCCATCTTAGAACATCAAACACACATGCGCATTATCCCGCAGGGATGCCCTTTCGTCACTCACCTACTTCATCTCGCAGCAGCAATCTCCGGAATAGAAGAGAAATGATCTAAATCCGATCTTGGCCGTAACAAACTCTGCCTGAAAAGCGTCGCGCACCAGAGGCGCCGACGGCGCGGTGACGCGGCGAGCTTACGACAGAGAATAGTAGAATAGCATTCATACTTTATCAAATAAACTAATTAATTGTACAAATAGCACTCCGCGGCGCGGCAGAATACGAAGTGTCATGAATTGTGGCTGGGCACTACGGACAGCCGCATTGACTTCCTTAGTATTTATTTCCTTCCTGTGAAAGTCATTGGTTACAGGTTTTCAGCTTTCTTCAAAATGTTGTCTTTAGCGTTTAACACGGGAGTCACCAACCTCTGAAACTAAGAGCTACTTTCGGGCACCGATTAACGTGGAGGGCTACCAGTTTGATAAACCCTTCTCAAATAACAAATTGCTCAATTTACTTATAATCATAATTTAAGTTTTTGGTAATAATTAATAATATTCATCCAGGTGAAGTCACTGATCATGTTATGATTCTCTCAAAGTTACCAACAATGATTTAACAGGGTAGGAAATACCCTGTAATTAATATATCAATGTGCAACACTATTTTATTTATCTTTGCAAATATTTACATTTTTAAATGATTACTTCTATATTAGAGAAAGCTTACTTGTAAGTGGCGTTATGGTGAGCTATTTTAGAACAGGCCTGTGAGCAACACATGAGAGCCTCGTGGGCTACCTGGTGCCCATCGGTACCATATTTGGTGACTCCTGGTTTAACAGAAAAGAAATTCATAAGGTTTGTAACCATCAGGTGGCGCTTAAAGCATGCGACCTGCTTATGCTTCCTTCCTTAAGCGCTGGAATAGAAGCCATTCATTTATTAGCTATTCAATTTCATCCTCAGTATATCCTTTTTACACAGATGCTGCCCCCTTCGTGGGGTATATTATCGGGGCCGCCAATGCGCTTCTAACGGGCAATATCGTCAATACATTCTGGGGAAAAAAAAAAATACTGTTGTACATGTTCCTAGTTGCATAGGATATCGCTGACTCTCTTTTTTTGCTTTATTTTCAGAAACCGGTATCAGAAGCAGAGCCGCAGCTGACTCCATCTCCCCTTTTAAGATGATAATCCCATAACCACAGCATACACAATTTGCGTCAGCATTCATTTATACATTTTAAGTTACCCCAGAACACCTCATCAGTTTCTCACTGCTCAACACATCCACACATTCCGTTCAATACCATTTTTGGTTTCAAAACACCTTAAAGTCATAGGACTATTCAGGCTTCCCACCAGATTCATAATCCAGTCACTCATTCAGAATTGGAGCCACCACCACAGCAGCACACAAGGGCTATCGTAACAACACAAACAAACACTAGGAAGGTGGTCTCCCGACGCCTTCAAATCTTATATCTGACTCAGCCACAGCCATCTCAGGGAAGCTCAGAGGACCCTCACCAGCAGACGCAGTAATCCCAGCGGCCAAGGGCATGGGCCTAGTCCAGGGAGAGAATACGACCCAACCATACCAGCTTCCCGAGGGCAGAGGAACTACCCAGTCTCCCAAGGGCGCGGGCATGACCCAGCCCTCTAACTTCCTTTCTTCCTTCCAGCTGATTTGCACTCAGCCTTCTCCCCCTTTTCACTCACCTAACTCCAGTAGGAGTTCTCTTCCTGCCCAACACCCCTACCCCCCCCCCCCCGGCCGCTGCCACAGAAGTTTTCACTGCCCCCCAACTTTTCTAACTTCTGTAGGACCCCGCCCCCCCCCCCCCATGGCTCTGGCACCCGCAGGGGCGTTACCCCGAGCTTCGATTCCCGCAGGAATCATCTCACTGCCCTGGCCTTAGCTTTTTATATTATATGTCATTCCTTAATAACATATAGTATAGCACTATTTATTTTTCTCTCTGTTTGATTTTTATTTATATAAATTTTTATCTATATGCACCCACGCATATAAATATGAATTTATATATAGTGCTGTCACCCTCACGCTCTGTTCCCGCAGGAACACCCCCAGAGCACCTATACCGCCCGTCACCCTCCAGTAAGAGTCTTCACCTCCCCCTCATATTTCCCGACTCCTACTGGAGCCAGCTAAATAGCTCACCCAACCCCGAGCTGTGACACGAGTCATGTCACCGACCCTGCCCGGCCCTAGCTTTTATTTATGTTTATTTTTGTTTATTTCTCACACTTATCTTTTATTTTTTTAATTTATTTATATATATGTATATATATATGCACCCACGCATATAAATATATATTTATATATAGTGCTGTCACCCTCAAGCTCTAACTCCCGCGGAGTTAATCCCGAGCACCGGACCCCTGCAGGGGTCATCGCCCAACTGCCATTTCACCCTCCAGCTGGGGCTTCACCGACCATTCCTTTTCCCGACTCCAGCTGGAGATGGCACATACAGCTCTCTCTCCCGCAGGAGAGTCAAGAGCTTCGACTCTCGCAAGAGTCAGTAAAAACGCCCCTCCAAGGCCCTAGATTACCCCATTATATATTTATATATCTATATGTTTAATATAAATATATAATTATATATAGTGCTGCCACCTCCCAGCTCTATCTCCGCAAGGAGTGTTCCTCGAGCAAATTACTCCTTCGGAGTCCCCGCCCCCCCTGCCCCCCTTCACCCCCCTCTCCAGCCGGAGTCCTTCCTTCCCCTTCCCTTATATGACTCCAGCAGGATTCCCGCCCACCCCATGGCTCTGACCCCCGCAAGGGTCTCCCCGAGTCTCTACTCCAGCAGGAGTATTCACAGCCCAAGCCAACTCTGCTCGGGTTCCCGCAGGAACCTGTTTCACCCTTTGCTCCAAAGGAGCCCTCTTTACCTTTTCTTTTTCAAATAACTATATCCAGCAGCCGGATATAGCATTTCAAGCCTTTTGGGGAGTTTCTTCGAATACACGGCTGCTGTCCCGAGCTTCATGCATTTGGGGAGCTCTCGAGAACCACCTGATCTCGTACTCCCCTTACATGCTCTATGGACCTGGTGGGAGCCCTGGGCTCAACTATCTCCGAGCTCAGGGTTCTCTCCCGGGACAGCATGCCA